ACGGTGCCGTTTTTCATACATGCTCCGCGTGCGGATCGTGTATTAAACATGCAGGGATTTGGTATTAATAACAGCGATGAGTTCATGCGTAAATGCATTCATAAATTGATCGTGTATTGAGAATCCAATTTTTTCGAAATCCGATGTATTAAAAACTGCCCTGTAGTCTCGGAGAAGAGCTCTCCGCGCGGATCCAAGAACTCCGCGCGGAGCTCCAACAAGTTCATGTTCGTGCCGTGCTGTGTTCTTCCTCTGCAGTCGCTCCTTGTCTCGTCGCCTCCGACAGCGGTGGAGAGGGGGTGTCCCGCAGCACGTGCGCGCCCGCTTCGGGCAGGGGGGACGGAACTGGAGCGGAGGAGGAGGAGGAGGAGGAGGAGGAGGAGGAGGAGGAGGAGGAGGAGAGGAGGAGGAGGAGGACCAGTGTAAACCCAAGAGGCATCGTCGATGTTGGAATAAACCCTTCCTCCAAGCTCCCTCTTCGTAGGCCCACAACGGTTCATTATTACCGAGGGAACTGCCCCGTTGGAAGACAGCTGTTTGAAGACCCTGAAGCATGCCAAAACGTTGTTCTCGGGATCCCATCGCCACGGATCAGGCTGACTGTTGCGTCTTGACGATTCTGAATCGTGCCAGAACGCCATTCCTGGGACTTGAACACGGCGAATCAACAGATCTTCTGCACCCTCAGCCAGAATCCTTCCAAAACACAATTCCTGGTACGTTGATCATGGGAATCCGTCTATGATGTTCCAACCTACTTTAGCTTTGACCACCAGAAATAGTTTCGAGCACCCAAAACATACCGAAACTCGGGGGTTTTCATGTGTCGGGCCCTGGGAGACACTCGTCCGATACTGTTTCGACACTGTTTCTACACTTTTCCGGGTGTTCGAATTTATTTCTGGGATGTGGTCCTTAAGTACGATGGGAACAACATAAGAATCCGTGGAACTCTTAAACATTTTGAAACGAGTGTGCGCGGCGCTAACGCGAGAGCCACATTTTAAAAAGGAACCGCCTTCAATCATTGAAGCTTTTGCAAACTTTAAGACGGATGTGCGCGGCGCTAAGGCGAGAGCCACATTTCGAAAACGACTCACCCTCAATCCGTGAAGCTCTTGCAATTTTTAGAGACGAGTGCGCGCGACGCTTAGGCGAGATCCGCATTTTGAAAACCACTCGCCCTCAACCCGTGAAGCTCTTGCACATTTACATACCAAATGTGCACGGCGCTAAGGCGAGAGCCACATTTTGGAAACCACCCGCCCTCCATCTATACGATTGTGGTCAACGTGTAAGTTTCAGAATCATAATTGGTGAGGAAGTCTCAGGCGAAACGCCCGGCCCGCCCTAAAAACTGGCCTCAGGGTGCGACAGGGAGACGTTATTTATAAGGAGGAGGAATGGAGGAGGAGGAGGAGGAGGAGGAGGAGGAGGAGAAGGAGGAGAAGGAGGAGAAGCAGGACGAGGAGGAGGAGGAGGAGGGGAGGAGGAGGAGGAGGAGGAGGAGGAGGAGGAGGAGGAGGAGGAGGAGCTCGAGGGCGCGCGGCGCGGGCCCCCGGGCGAAGGCTTGCGTGCCTTGGGGCCTCTCTCTCCGCCGTGGGCTGGCGGCGGTGCAGCAGAGCCCTCGCCTTAGGTCGGGCAGGTGGAGGGTTTCTCCGAAGCGCTTAACCGTGCACGGGCAGGTTCCCCTACAAGCGGACTTTGGGCGACAATACACGGATAGTCAGAGAATATACAAAATAATCAAACATAGTCGTCCCCGTGCCACTTTTGGACAACTTGGGCGCATTCCTCCTGTAGAGGGACACGCCCGACTTAACCCTCACCGTGCTCGCAGTCGAAGAGTCGTCCCCGTGCTACTTTTGGACTATTTGGGCACATTCCTCCTGTAGAGGGACACGCCCGACTTAATCCTCACCGTGCTCGCCTCAGGTCGCCCGCGTCGTCGCCGTCGCTCGCGCTGCGGCGAAGGGGCGCGCCCGCTTCGGGCAGGACCGCCGCTCAGCAGCAGATCATGGAAGCCTGGTGTGCCCTTTTGATTCCGCCTTGAGCGTCGATTAGCGTCGATCAGCGTCTGGGAGTCGATGAGGTAGCGCCGATTTAGCGTCGGTTAGCGTCGATTTAGCGTCGGTTAGAGTCGATTTAGCGTCGGTTAGCGTCGATTCCGCGCCCGTTAGCGTCGACTAGCGTCGTTTAGCCGCGATTCGCAAGAGCCGACAACATGGTACTGGAGGCTCCCATGAGTTGCCACCGAAGGACCGCCGGGAGCAAAAGACACGCGATTGCCTGAGCTGAGGCTCCCCGGTGCCGAAGCCGCGAGCGGGCCTTTGCCCGGGGCCCATCCTCCGTCCTGGCTCGCTCCTGGCGGCCCTGGGCTGGACACCTGTTCGCTGCAGCGCTCGCCCGACGGCACTTGCTCGCCACGCCTGGGGACCCAGCGCGCCCAGCAGGACACCACCAGCCAGGCTCCCCACGGAGTTTGCCCATGCCTCCCTCCTCCTCCTCCTCCTCCTCCTCCTCCATTTCTTCCTCTTCTTCTTCCTCCTTCCTCCTCCTCCTCTTCCTCCTCATCCTCTCCTCCAACCACCCCTCCACCCGTTCCGACAGCGCGTGCCCACTCCCACCCGCGGACCCACGGGGGGCGGGGGTGGGCGATCGTTGCCCCATGCAGGGGTAGCTCGGGAAACGAACAATGACATAAACATAAGAACTCGGAGGTCCGCGCGGATTTCTCGGATCGGCGCTGGAGACCCCTGGCGGCGCCTCAGGCGCCGCCCCTGGCGCGCGGAGCGCGCCAGGGAGGGGGGTCCAACGTCGATCCGAGAAATCAGCGCGGACCTCCGAGTTTATATGTCTATGTCATTCTTTGTTTCCCTCGTATTTAGTCGGGCCTGTCCCTCTACAGGAGGAACATTCAAGAATGGTTGCAAAATAGTCTGGCGCCGATTTGTTTAAACATGTATATGTATTCACATATATATATATATACACATGTCTATAGATATTGTTGTTGTCTTTTTTTGGAACAAATTTAGTTTTCGTCCAAATCCGCCTGTATGAGGACACGCCTGACCTAAGCCTAGTAGCCCTCCTGGCCCAAGGGCGCCCTGGGCCCACCGCGACGGGCGGCCGGAATGGCCGCGCCTGGCGCAGCGCCTGGCGGTCCGGGCGACCCGTGGTCGGTGTCGGTGCGGCTGGTGAGCGGGGCGCAGCTCGCGACCGTGCGGATGGCTCCCTCGTCCACCGTGGGCCAGCTCCGCGCAGCGGTGGAGGCGGCGGCCAGCCAGGCGGCGCCCAGGAGGGGGCGGGGGGGGGCTGCTCGGAGGAGGAAAGGATACCCCTACCTCTGCCTTCCCTCGTTTTCCCCTCTTTGGGCCTCCTGGGAGGCCCGCGTCGCCACCGCTGGATTCGCCTCGAAAGACTGGTCAGAACTCGCCCTGGGAGAGGTGCGGGGAGCAGCGGTATCGGTACCTCTCGGTTTCCCCCAGCCTCTGTGCGGGCCCCAAGAAAAATGCACCACCACCCCCGATGCTCCTCCCCCCCTCGTCCTCCCCTGGGCTCCTGGCGTCTCGATTCTTTCTTCAGCCGGGCGCCGTCGCCCAGCTGCGGGCCCTGGAGCCTTCGCAGATCGATCCGGCCTGAGAATTGGGGCAGAAAGACGGGGTCTGGGCCTTCGGGCGTGGTTTTTCAAGGCGTCACAATTGCTCTGAGGGGCCGGATCTCAGGGTCTCCTCGTCCTGTCTTCTCTCCTGGGGGAGAGGGTGGTGGTGAGGGAGGAGGTGGAGGTGGTGGTGGTGGAGGAGGAGGAGGAGGAGCAGGAGGAGGAGGAGGAGGAGGAGGAGGAGGAGGAGGAAGGAGGAGGAGGAGGAGGAGGAGGTTGTGGTGGTGGTGGTGGTGGGTGTTTGCAGGCCCCACATTCTGCGAAGGCGGCCAGGCTTCCCATGGAGGGAGGAGGAGCTCCCTGGGCGCCCGCCCGGCTTCCGATGTCAGACGCCGTCTCGGAAATTTCCCCGGCCTCCTTCTGGGAAGGTCCTAAACAAGTTCAGGAGGGGAAAAAAACACACAGACGCAATTCATCCTCGATTCCCCAGAAAATATGGAAAAATATGGGAAGTGGAGGGGAAGACAGAAACCCAGAAAATATGGGAAGATATGGGGAATCTTTTTATTTGTGTGTATTCATTTGTGTGTCCTGGGGCCCCTTCAACAGTGAGCGGCTTGAACAAGGAACACTTGCTTTTCAAGAGGGGCTCGGTCGTTCCTTTCGGGGGCGGCCAAGAGGGGGGTGATGACTAGGGGGGGGGGGATTTCATGGCGGGGCCATGATATTTCCCCAGATTTCATGGCGCCTCTTCTTGTTTCATTACGTCCCTGGCCCCCCCGCTGGGCCGCGCGCATGCCGCCGGTCATGATTTGCACCCCCCCCTCTTGGACACCCCCCTCTTGGCCGCCCTGATCCTTAGGTTTGCATGCGTTATTAACCGTTCCTCATGCGTTATTCATTATACGATGGGGGCGCGCATCAAGAAACCATCTGCTCTTCGTCAGGGTATCCTGGGTTTCTTCGCTCCGCGCGCCGCGCGGTGGCCTCCCGCAGCCGGGGAAGGAGCGGCTGCGTTCAGGGTGCTCCGGGTTTCCCCCCTCAGGTGCTCCTCGCACGCGTGCGTTCAGGGTTGGGCTTCTTGCGACGGTTGCTTGCGGCCGCGCCCGCACTGTATATCGTTCCTTATGCGCTGCTCCTCGGAACAAAAAGGGGCTCGGTCGTTCCTTAGGCTTGCATGCGTCATTTGCCGCTCTTGATGCGTTATTTACTATATATATCGTTCCTGATGCGTTACTCCCTGGAAACAGGGGGCTTCCTTCCTTACTCGTCCTTCCTTAAGGTCAGGCCGACGGCTGTGCGTACCTTCTTCCAAGGGGCCCCTCCGCCTGCCGCCCTCCCGGGCGCCGACCCCCGGCGGGTGCCGCCCGCCGGCGGCGGGTGGGCCCAAGGCGGCATGCAGCTGGTGCTGGGCAGCCAGGCGCTCGCGGGAGTCCAAGCGCTCGAGCGGGGGAGCGGCTGCAGGGCGGGTGCGCTTCGGAATGGCTTGCTCACCGATGTGGTCCCCTCTCCTGGAGGGTTTCTCCGAGGGGCTCAGGCGACCCGTCCTCCTCCTCCTCCTCCTCCTCCTCCTCCTCCTCCAGCTGCTGTCGCGGCTTAAACCCCACACTCCGTCGCAGCTGCTGTAATTGCCAGGGCACTCCGTTCAGAGGCAGCGATGTTTTCTCTCCTCGTGCGGGGCCCGCGCTCTTCGTGAGAAAGGGAGAGGCCGCGCCCGTCCTCGCCGCAGGCTTCTCGCCAGTGCGACGTCGACACCGAGTACGTCAAGCCGAACACAATGGGCGACGGCACCCCCAGGTCGCCGGGGCACATTCGTGCAGTTTCTTACAATCCGATGCATCTTTGTGGATTGCGCGGGGAAGAGGTCTCTTCTGAATTTGGAAATGTGGGGGCCGTGCTGCTTCAAGGGACTGGTCGGCGCAAAGGAGCAGGCGAACCTCATCGAGTTTTTCGCCATTCGCGGCATTACGAAATTTCATTTGGATTCTCGAGGTCATCGAACAAAGCCTGTGGCACCAGCATCATGCTGCACTCAAAAGTCTTCCCCCAGCGCTTCATCAGAAAGATCTTCGCCTCACCCGTGGACTTGGAAGGGCGCTGCGGCGCGGTGAGATTGAAGTCGGGTAACATGGACGTGCTGTTCGCCTCTCTTTATTACCCAGTGTATTCGAGCGTTCGAGCGGGCCGTGCAGAGCAACGACGACTTGTTACACGAATGACGGTTTGGATCCGAAAGATACTGCAATCGATTGGTGGGCGGTGTACACCTAGTCCAGGCATGGACCTAAACGACGGTCTGGGCAACGCTCGGGACTACGATGTCGAAGGCGACACGATCCCTGTTGAGGACGAGGACGTGGAGGATTGGACGTGCATTGGACCTTTTGATAGGGACCCCGACGGGGTTGCGGGTAGCGCACTTCGGCAGCTACTAGTGGACACACACATGTGCGCGATAAATACCTTCAAGCCGCTTGGCCCGACCTTCTTTGGGGTGGGCGCTTCCACGTCGCGGATTGACTTCTTGGTGATTCCTCAGCAGCTTCGGCAGCATGTTCGACGATGTGTTATTCTTCATGGGGCGGGTCGACGCTTGCAACCGATATCTACACTTGATGACCGTGAGCATCGACCCATCTTGATTGAATGTAAGTACGACTTTCAGGCGCAGTTTGGTGAGCGCAAACCGGCTTGGGATTGCGATCGGGTCATGAGATCGCTGACGGGCTGCTCGTCTTGCACGGCGTCGATTGAGGCGGTGCAATAGTCGATTTGCATTATTCATGAGGACGAGTGGATCCGATTGTGCTCGAGGGCGACCGTGGACGAGGTGTGGAACTCAGCTATGAGCCTCATGGTCGCCTCTGCACAGGGCATTTTTGAAAGAAGTCGCAGCAGGAGACGGAGCTATCGCAGTTGGAAAGGGGGCGCTCCTCTTAACCTCGTGAGCGGAAGCGGTTCAGAGGCAAGCGCAGTGGATCTTTTCCGAACCATGATCTGTTTGGTACGTCGCCTGTTCTCGCCTTAGCGTGCCCACCCTGGCCCCGTCCCTGGTATCCGTGGCGTCTCCTGGCCAGGTCGGGCCTTCGGGCCCGTCGGCCCCTTCTGTCATCCTGGAGGCGCCTGGGCCCTCGGAGCCACCTATTCGCCCCACGGGGGGGGGCCTGTCTGGAGCAGAAGAGGGAAATTGGACTTCAGCAGGCTCGAACGACTTTTCGAATACGTCATCTCTCGAAGCTGATCAACAAAGAAAGAGAAGCGTCTCTCACGGCTGAGCTTAACGAGGCATGGAAAGCGCACGACCATTTCAACGTGCAGCGGATTATGCGACGTCTGTCCAAGCGAGGAGCAGGGCCCCGACACTGAAAGTATTTTGTGCTGAAGTCCGAGAACAGTGACGCCCAGGAGATGTCTGAGTCTCTGTGTCGCCCCGTTACGGCTGGTGGACTTGGCGCCTCTCGGTGCGACCTTCGGGCTGAGCTTGTTGAGAGGTTCGACCGCCCCCGCACCGACGGATGGGGTGCTTCGGATGAGGTGCGTTATAACGCTATGCAGTTCGAGCGCGTTGCCGCGGCCAGACAAGCTACGATTGGGATTATTCGGCAGTTGAGAAAAAGCCCCAAAGAGACGGGCTACGCCGACATGGTCTCTCCCATCAGAGCTCTGGCTTCTATTGTTGGACGAGGAATGCCGGGGCAAATGCCGCGGGGGGGGGGGGGGGGGGGTTCGGAGTTGCGGCCAGCATCGGCCCAGGCGTTCGACAAGCGTTTCTTGGACTTGCTCGCTTGGTTTCGCAGGATTTCAGCAAATCCGCTTATATTTGATGTGTCTGCTTGCGGTGGGCTGGATAAACACAGCGGTAAACCAGGCGCTGAAAGTCAAAGATGGATCCATCTCTTTTGCCCTTTGGGCAAGGCGTGGAATTCGCACTTGTGGGTCAGGGCTCGGCGGCATCGTGAACCATTACCTTATGCATGCCATGGGTTTGCGAAGAAGCGCAGGCGAGAAGATTCACTATTAACTCAATGCTGTACTTCATGGAGACTTCAAAGGCAGGGCTATTCACGCGTGATCGTCAACGAAGATGCGACACATGCCTTTTCTAGTGTATCGCGGGGCGTCGTGCTGGACACGTTGCCCTTGCTTTTTTACTTTGAGGAAGGTGTCAGGTTTCAACGTCAGCGGATCATTCAGAGCGCGTGCCAGGTTACCACTGCAGGTGAGACGATATGCTTGCGCCCGAGCACGGGCGATTTCATGGGCCATCATAATGCTGCGCATGGCTTCCCGTGCTTCTATCAGAGAGGTCTCGAGCCGTTTTTTTGAGATTCGTCGACGCACGACTTCTTGCTCTATGGCGTTGGTCACGGAGCCGAACGGGGGTCTCGACGGATGTTGGCCTGTCCTTGTTTGCGGATGATATCGCCGAGCATGTTATGACATAGGCCAGGCCCGCCACCACAACGCATGGGATGTGAAGCGCGCCACTTGCTGGCGCTCGCTCGCGTCAGCAGCGAGCACTTGCAGCGCGCGCTGTTCCAGATCGGCGTCGCCCGCAACCCCGTAAAAAGAGTCTCCCTGGTCGAGCTTGTCGGTCCTGGTTCTCTTGGGCAGCGGCGTTTAGTCTTCAGTGGGGCCGTTTCCACCTTGGGCAAGGTCGGGGGATTCATGAGAGTTCTTGGGGGCTGGCTGACGACGAGCAGTTCCCTCCAGGTCGAAAAGCTGAAACGTATTCAAGCGGGAAGGGCAGGCTCAGGTACGATCATTTTGTTCTTGCGCCACGCGGCGCTGCTGAGCGTCGAGGGGGCGGCCGTGGTCGCGTTCGTCCAGTCGGCCCTTCTCTCGGGGGTGGAGGCAAGGATTCCTGACGGGAGTTTTTGTGCTGCAGCAGATCAGGTTTTACAACGAGCGATGAGAAGGGGTCTGGGTATCTCGGGCCTCGAGGGCCATGGCGAACAGGAGCTCCGCCGCTGGCCTGCGGCGCGCATGTGGGCACATTGGCGAATCCTTCTGTGCGATAAAGAGTTACGGGTGAGGAAGTTGAGGTGGTAGCAGAGCTGGAGTAAGTTCCCCGAGGCCCACCGTCAGGCCAGAGCCAGTGTCTTTGGGCGTCTAGGCTCCGAGGAGGTTATCACAGCGTCTTGGACATTGGCCAGCGACGCCAACCCCTGGGCTCGGCAGGTACCAGAGGACCTCACGTTCGGGTTCGGGGGCTCGGAGGAGCTCCAGTATCTTCTTCCCCCAGGCTACCCGCTCCAAGCTTCTCTTCGATCAGGAGTTCGGCGACTGGGCCGATGTCGATTTCTCGATCCTGCGGGCCCAGGCCTTCTCGCACTCGGTCCCACCTCCTGGTCTCGAGGCCCCGCTCGTGATTGACGGCGACGCTTCGGGCGATGTCGCGATCGCGGGGCCCTACCAGTGCAATCAATCTCACGACGACGGAGGGCGGGATTTGCGGGAAACGCTTCCCGACCATGGAGCGCCTGTTGCTGCGCGCGGGCCGGGCCCGCTCGGTTAGGAACGAGGCTAGCCTGCTGACTGTCACCAATCAATGCTTTCGTTGCTTGCAGGCCTTGGGCTCACGGGAGAATGCGCAGAGACACGTTATGCGGTCTTATCAGTTCAATCTATGTGCGGTGGGGCGGAGTTCTTATACGCAGAGCGAGATTATCATTCCACCGTCGCTGGCGTGCCCGATTTGCAGATACTTGGCTCTAGACTTGCACTCTCTTCGATGGCATATTCAAGCGCACTGCTCTTTGCCGCCTCCCCAACATGCGCGGCGTAGACTTCGCCATGGAGCTGGGCCTCGGCGCGCTGCTACAGGGACACAAGGCAAAAGCGGGCGGGCCTGCAGACGGCGCACATCCAGACAAAAAGGGACGGATCGCGGCAATGGCAGACGACGCTGATGACGACTTGGCAAAAGTGGAAGGGGCATTGAAGGCACATGGCATACAACAGGCCCTGAACATACTCTTGAAACTGGCTTGCCAACACGCGCAGCAGCTGAGAGACATGGCGGCCTCGGAGTGGATATCGGTGGTCCCGCCCGTGGAGAGCGGCCCCGTCGTCGCGGCCAAGCAAGCAGGCAAACAGAACGCCGAAGTAACGGCGATCCAGGGGCTCAAGGCGAGGGTGGGCCCTCCTCATTTGTACATCGCGCGCGCCGCGTTCAGGTCGTTCAAGGAGGACGAGCAGGTGAAGACGCTGCTGGATCCGTCGCAGGTGCTGAGCGCCTTTTACGACAAGTTCATCTCAGTAGCATCGATGGAGGAATTGGGCTTAGTCATTCGTCACTTCAGGGTACGCAAATGTTACAGCGAGAAGTTCTGCCGCATTCAGTTCAGCATCGCGGGCGGCTTTCAGATCCCGCTGGGAGAGGGGCAGCCAAGGGGTGTCGAAGCTGCTCCTGGAGCA